ATTGCCTGATGAGTGTGGTCATCCTTTGACCATACGAAACAGCGTTGTCGCAATAAAACGATGAATTGAAGTCTTGCTACCATTGTTTATTATATATATGCTTCTGTTGCAGTGTATTACTGTAAGACACTGGAAAATGGAGAATTAACTCTCACTAGCAATTTGCTGAGTGCTGGAAATCAGCCAAAATATTTCAATTACTGAGGGTTAGCCCTAGAAAGGAAATGGGTGACCTCTTGAGTTTAAGAAAAATGCTTTGATTTTGGTTGGGATGGAATCCATGACCTCCGAATTAGACCATTTTAAATCTCTTAACTGAGCTATGAGGCCAGACAGGAGCTGGTTGTGGTAATTGATTGTGAATACAATGTTACAGTGTACATGTATGTTACACAGCATTTGATACTTAAGAAGTTAGAAATGTATAGAATTAACTCTTATAACAACATTCATTTTGCAATAATTGCAAGATGCAGCGTTGTTACAAAAGAGTCAAATTCTAAGCTGTACAATTATTGATAAGTCTGCAAAATAAATTTGTTTTTTATTTGCAGTATTTTCGTTTGACTTGTTAGGATGGGAAGCTTCTTATGTGCACTTTGATACAATGTACAACTATCTCTAAACAAAAGTTCAGACAGTCATTTTGTTTCTGGAAACCACTGCAAGCGTACCGCCTAATGTTAATGCAGCCATGACCATCTTTGGTAGTGCCCAATGTAATTCTTTATTAATATTTATTAATAACTAGTCTAGACCTTCTCAAAGTCTTTCACAGTAATTGCAGCTAGTTGGTCTTGGTCATGCTCTTTGGCTCAGGTTTTGAGTATTGCTGAAATTCTTTAAGAGCCAATTTAATATTGAGAGTGAGGCGACAGTTGTGAAATTTCGGATTTCATCCTATTTTGCCTAAATAACCTCAGTGTTTAGTTTTTTCAAAATCAAGGAAAGTGTGAAAATCACCATTTTAGCCCCCAGCCATCTCTGAAAAATATGGTGGAAAATTGTGCAATTTTCTTTTCGCTCATACGGATCAATGTGATGATATCTATTAACATACTTTGGATTAACCTCATGTCCTGAAAGCAAAATAAACTTTTGATTAAAATTGCATTGAGTTACCTTGCAGTAAGCAAAAAGCACTTAGTACACTATTAATAATGACTGACCCCAACAGAAACAGTGAGTTGGAGGTTGGAAACATTGAGGGAGGAGGGGGAGCAGAACTCACTGTTTCCCATAGGGCCAGTAATTAATTGTTTTGTTATACCTTCCAACTCAAAAATGGAAAAAAGAAAAAACTGCCAGGGCATTATTTGGTTGACGCTGGCTGGCAAACAAATGTGCCATGGTTTCAAGATGCATGCCCTGGTTGCGTGCAAGTCGAAAGCTCGAGTTGTTGTTTCCCTTGGGAGGTAGTGAGTTTTGTTCACCTTAGGGCATTTTCAACTCATGACGTGTTCTCTTCCAATCAGAAAACATATTTTGAGCTGGGAGCAGGGCTCAAAAACAGTGCTGTCCCATTGTTCCAGACAGGTAGATTTTCCTTCTGGACAAGTAACTTTTCATTCTTCCTTGCCAGATTGGCAAGGGATCAGGCAACTTGTCTGACAACTAAATCATTAAAGTAGCAAACTAAGACTTGCAATTGCCCAGCAGGGCAAGCAAAATTTGAGAGCTACATGTACTTGTCCCAAGGGCAAGCTGGAATTCAAGTTTTTTTCGAAGCCCTGCGGGAGGTATACCAACTCAGTTAATTCATAACAGTCATAAGCATCATTCTATCATTGCCACTTGGATAGTTACTGTTAGTAGTGTTCTAGAGTTAGTACCTTGTTGATAAGACTAGTATGTTTTCATGGCCTACACATGGTTGAAATATGTGCTTCCAATGCATTCTCAAGTTATTACATGTAAGAGTGAAGTTAAAAGGAACATTTCAGCATCTTGTTAGAGACACCTCCTGCAGGCTAACAGTCTCCCATACTAGCAGTCATCATTGCCCCAGTCTTGACAAACACAGCATGTTTACATGTAACATCTGGGCCACAGGGCTCAGCTGCTAATAGGAAGTTCTATAATGGCTCACCAATTTATAATTTCACATTGTCATTTGCAGTTGTCGTTAATGTTATTGATTATGTGGGTGCAATCCTAAGTTACCTGATTATAGCCATTGCTCTGTTTGGTGGAAAGTACGATGATTTATCTGTGACTGAGCTTGGTGCTCAGATCAGCAGGGTATGTGTCACTTCACTTATTATAATCATTTGTTTTGTAATTAAAAATGAGATATTAAAAGATAAGGCTACAGGCCAGGGCTGTGTTGTTTAGAGCCCAGTTAAGCTGACCCAGGATTAACGAGAAATTTTGATTTCAGTTTATTTGTAGCTTTTTGGTGAGGTTTTCTGTTTAATATATTGTTTGCCCTTCAGTTTTGAATTGAATAATCTCAAACTAAATAAAACATATATATAAACAGTAAAAAACGCTTTTATACAAGAATTGTTTAACCAATTGACACTTGGGTTAACTTTTATTCCTGAGTTAAAGTTGACCGGCTTTCAATCAACCCAGCTCAGAAAAGTATTTGATCAATTAAAAGTTAAAGATTGTCAATCATGCGTGTTGATTCCCTGGTTCCATAGATTTCACTTAAATTCTACTTGTCAAAAAATACCTCTGTCAGAAAACCTCTGGGAACAGGCTCTAGGGAAGCATGTCAGGAAACTCCCAAACTGATCAAATCAACCATATGTTTTTGGCCTTTCACTCTCCTATGGAAGTGATAGCATAACTAGCCATATCCATTAACTTTTGCAATGGAACCTCTAGCTGCAGTTGTGTAGTTAACATTTTAATCCTTATAAAACTTTAAGGTAAAAAGCCGTTAAAATTGAGTCTAAACGTTTTCGATCTCACTCTGATGATAATCAAACAGATCGCAAACGTTTAGACTCAATTTTAACAGCTTTTTACCTTAAAGTTTTACATTTTACTTCTATCGGCGAAATGCATATGTTTTAATCCTTGTTAGCCAACTTTTTATGAGCTACATTCAAAAACAGTTCGTGACTTGACAAATTATTATTTCTCTAATGTTTTCCATTCCATTCAGTTATTACCTGTTGTTGTTATTTTAATAGAGCAGTTTTCAACTGAGTGTCGTAAAACCAAAACCAAAGTAATCACTCTAGCCAATCACCAATCACAATCACACAGGTTGTCTGACAAGCCAATGCCAAATGAACCTATCAAAATTCGAAGTAAATCACATGAAGCTGACGCAAAAAGCACATTCAAGTCCTTTGTGATTGGATGAAAAAAATTGAGCGATTTTTTTTTTAACCAGTCATGTGGCGTAGGCACGAAACCAATTACTTAAATGAAAACCGCTCTAAAAGCAATGAGCATTCTAAAATTAAATTGATTGTTAATATATAAGACAGCCCATTTCATTAATACATATACATGTAGCTTACATCTAGAATGCACGTAATGGTTTACTGGAGGAGTGACTTCTGAACGTGATTTTTCATTCTGGATTGTCTCAAGTTGATTTCGTTTAAATTTGTTTAAAATTTCAGAACTCATTTTTTGCCATGTACTTGATAAACTGTGGCACTAAGCTTATTGACTTGTCCAATAGTATCTCCAACATGGCTGGATATGTTCACAGGTAACTTCTTTGTAATGTGAGAAATGCAGTCTGTAGCCTTATAGTTGGCGTTTTGGAGTCTTGATTGATTGCCCAAAGATTGAGTACTGGCTAGATATCATAGGCGAAAATCTCATCAATTAGAGTTTCGTCTTTCCTGGTAATCAAAAGATCTAGCATAGGACCAGCACGATGAGTGAAATTGCATACATGTTGTGTCAAATTAAATAAGTCAATAGGTTTACGGTGTTGTTTTTCTCAGGCAAGACACCTTCCTCGAATAATGTTTCTCCCCACTTTCAACCTAGCCAGGATTATACATGTAAATGATTACTGTTAAATTTTCAAGGCAATTTCACAAAAATGCTAGATACTATACTACCTAATATGATGAGTAGAGTCCCATCCAGAAAGATTTTCTTAACCTTCTTGCCTCTTGCTGTTCAAACACGAGTGAACTGGCAACCTGATGAAACCGACTAGGCATGTACAGTATAGGCAGGCCTGTAAAATTAACTTGTTAAGTTCTTTGTGATGGATCAACGCCCCATCAAGTCCAGTACTGATCATGAGAAGTCTGTGTAACAGTTGTTCTTTCTAAGAGTGCAAGAACTATGTGAAAGCTGGAAGTGCATGCAAGATGTAACAACAGCAGCAATTAATGGCAACACCAGCAACAGCAACAGCAACTAACGACAGCAGCAAAATATTACCATTGCAAGGTCTGGCACTTAAGTGGGGTAGAAGACTCAGTTGATGTAAAACAGCAGAGAACAAAAGGACAAAAGAACGAGGAACGCAGTGAAAACAATTATAGCTTTGTGAGGGGTGTTGTTTTGTGATCTGTCCTGTGTCTTCTGCACCAAGAAGGAACCCAAGATCTTTTCTTTTTTCTGAAAACAGCTAATAATATGCATTTTTTTGTGTGTTTCTCGTCTTTAACAGAATAGGTCAGCTTTTGGAACGTTTTGCTACCATGGAAACTGATTCAGAAGAGAAGACGACAGAAAACGAAGATTCTTTAGGGTAAACTGATTCTTGCACCGTTATGTCCGCAACATCTTGTCTTCTTTGCTGTTCAGTCACAGCAAGAAAGTAAATGCATTGTGCACTTAGGTATTGAAATTTGCAGCCAGGCACCTTGAGGAGCATGGGTGGGCTAGCTGAGAAGCCATTCACCTTGCAGCAGTCTGACCCGTGTACGATTCTGGCCAGGAGTCGCATGTGGGTTGAGCTTGGTTCCAGTAAGAGTTTTTCTTCAAGTTTTCTCGCAACTAAAAAAAGCCCATCTTTTTTATTCCAATTCAGTCTGGAATTTGAGGGCTACATGTTTGTCAGCACTGATACTGTGAAGAGAATTGGCATTCTCAATAATTAAGGTTGAAATAATTAAGGCTCCATACAGCATCGTTTTAACAAAAATCTCTCGTTGTTTCAGCGCTGAGAATTCGGCTCCACACGGGAGTGATGCAATTTTCAAGCTTGTTAATGTTTCGTATGCTCCACCAAATTGCACAGAGCCCCTTGTCAAAGGTGAGGGTTTTTTGTTCTTTTTATAATACAGATAGTCTTGTTAATTTTATTTATATGTGTAGCAATATAACTAGGCGGCAATGATAAGGCGATTAATCAATCTTCTGGTGTACAAAGTTGTAAGCCTTAAGTACATTAATTGTCTTAAGCCATCGCTCAACAGTGATTTAAAACGCAATAGATCTACCTGTACCTAATCTCTTTAAGATGTCATTTTTTATCTGTTAACAGTTGCTTAATCAGTAATTGCCACCCTTCTAATTACATGTAATATCCGTGCTCCTTTTTGACATTTTTATAATCTGAAGATGGAGTGATACCGAAATATAACTCCACAAATTGTTGTTGTTGTTGTTGTTGTTGTACTGGCTACATGTAGTTGCGGTCATATTATAAACAATCTATACACAGAGCAGAGAAAAAAACAGGTCCGATTGCCCTTGACAAGATAATTTTGTTCTTGGGCAAGTGAAAATGTAAGTTTGGATGGTCCAGTAGACAATGTAAAAACTTGAGACTGCAAGATGAGCAAAACAATGAGGTGTAAGCATGGTTTAATTTAGTTGATAAGGCATGAACATTGTGCGCCTATTGGGCAAGTAATATTTTAGTAGGGACAACTGAAAACCGAAATGTACTGGCGCACCGGGCAACTGGATTTCAATTTTGTTTTCTTTCCCGATACAGTTACTCTTGACTAGTTAACCTTTATCCTATAAAAAATGGAACTATCAGTGGGTAATGTGTTTTAGAATGAAGAATCATTAGAAAAGGTAGATAACGGAAAATGACAACGAGCAGTCGTTAATCTTCATCAATTGTTCTTCACGTGTTGTTTGTTCACTGTGTTCTGGGTTCATTCCGCGTTTTTTTTTTTAGATTTAGATTTGGAGGTCAGCCATGGAAAGACCATTCTCATAACAGGAACTACAGGTAATTAGAATTTATAATTCCTTGATTGAACGATTCAAATTGATACAAATTAGAAACTCGAACCATTGATAAACTTTTTGCAAGTAGGATAACTAATGTAACGTTTTTCTGTCGTTCAAGCTCTGTTATTAACTTAGCAGACAAAGCGTGTCTGTTACCTGCCACTGTCCTTGAGTATCTTTACTTGCAACATAAATTAATACTTCTCCTTATGTCTAAAATCTGGTTTGGAATTTTTATCCATAGGAAGTGGAAAGAGTTCACTTTTTAGAATCCTTTGTGGAATATGGAGTCCTCTTTCAGGTACAAGTGTTTTATTCCTAATAAATTTCGTGGTCTGTAATATGTATTTCTATAATCTTGTTTCTTGATGTTTACCATAATTTAGTATATGTTATAGGACCACATGCTCTAATGTGGGTGTTTATCTGTAAGGTTCCGTCCACACTTCGCAAGAGGAATTTGAAAACAGAGGTTTCACTTGGAAAACGCATCAAATATTTTCCGTCCACACTATGCCGGAGAAATGTAAAAACGCAACAATCACCGGTCATTTTATATTTTATATTTGTGTTTGAGGAAAACTCGGTCAGGGAAATCACGTGATTATCGTGACGCCATCGTTTTCGCAAAGCTCCGTTTTCAAAATGTTTTCAGTCCACACGAAATTAAAAAGCGGGTGTTTTTAAATTCCTTCGGTTTGAAGAGCGTTTTCGAAAAGCTCCGTTTTCGCGACGGATTGGTGTGGACGGTAGGCCTAACCGTAGAAATATAAAAGTTCTCCATTCGTGCGCTAATTACTTCTTTTTGTAAAACTTTTGTAAACAACTTTTCCTTCAAAGGGAATTCTTGAAGACGTTTGAATTTCGAAATTTGTTATCGAAACTATCAATAAGTAATTGCAATGGACCTCATGCCGCACAATCCAAGGAGTAATCCGAGGTTGTGTAATCGTGCTCGTAATTTGAAATCAGCCTCGCCGGCGCTGCGCGCTCGTCCAACTTTTAAATTCCTCTCCCGATTACTCCCTCGGTCCAGTTGCTATGACTAATTTGGATAACTATCTAAATTAAGATTATACTATTAACTAATAATCGTGTGTGCACTTGTATGGAATTTTGGGCTGGTAATCTGAAAATTATGTATTACTAAGTTAGCTTTGCAAGTAAACTTATTTAAGTTTATCTTCGAGAAACGTCTCCGACTGGACCCGAAAAATGCCATATTGATGACTTTGTCGTCGGCGTTGGCTCGTGTCCGAGCATCATTTTCTTTTAACAGTACGATCTTCTCTTTTTTGATGGCCTCGGAGGTGGCTTAGCTGTACAATCCTTGCATAGAATTTGCGAGGGCAGTGAGGGGACGGGAGGGTGGGCGGTGGATGAGAGGCTGCAAGGCGGCGTTTCTGTTCTTCACGTTTCTCTTCTTCTTTGCGCCTCCATTCCGCTTTAGACATGGCAGTCCCGGTGGAAATGGACTGTCGCCAGCCAGATCGATTTGCCACTGTTGTCTCCCATGTCCTCGGATCAATTCCAGTAGCGTTACGGAAACCCGTGTGGCGTCTCTGATTGGTTGTTTATCGGTTTGAATTTGTACGCCCAAATTATAACCAATCAGAGACGTTTAACGAATCTCTGCAGAGCCACGTCATCGAGTGGCGCAAACTCGTCACTCTAAAATGTAATATGAGTTTTGCTCCACATCTTTTAACAGGGGAAGTCTTGCGATTTCTTCCGTTCAGTCCTAAAGCTGTCTTGTTCTTACCTCAGAAGTCTTTTCTAACAGATGGCACGTTACGGCAACAGGTAAACTCATTCAGAATAATTAACAATAGTGAACAAAAGAAAAGGGAGCGGACTGCTCGAGAGTACACACTGCGCGTTGCTTTTTCAAGAAATTTGTAGTAAAGGAATGTTTACTGGAAGATTTTTGCGGCATCAAAAAACAAATTGAATGGTGAAAAATAACGAAAACCTAGACCTAGCCCACACATCTCAATGAACAAAATAATGCGCTTAACAAGTGGGTGACAAATTATGCGCTTTTATTCAATCTTGAAACTTGCAAACTACTTTGATTAAGCTTTAACAATCATGATTAGCAAGATCGAATTCAGTCTTGCTCAACAATATTCATATTGTATATTTCTTATTTTCTAGTTAATGTACCCTTGTGAGGATCCTTATGGAGTTGACTCTGAAACAGGTGATGACAGTTTGGGCCTATGTTAACTTTCGCAACAGAACACTGAAAAATCTAATACAACTGACAAAAACGGGTTTTCGGACTTATAACCGTCGGAAGAATAAGCACCAGTTGATGCCAAGAATTGACTGAGCCCGCGTTCTTGACAGGGCAATTTCGAAGCAGCCTAATGTGTTTCCTATTTCGTCATTCTGACGTGGTGCTTTTCGGATTACTCGTGAGTGTTCGCGCTAGCTTTTGATTGGATAATGCGAATTGGTAAAAGTTCGAGCTCGGCAACGAAGATTTGCCAAAAGTGACACTTGTTTCCTCCACTGTATTTGTAATCTTCGATTTTTCTTTGCCATGTACAGGAGGCAATGAAGATGAGAAACTTCTTCAGCTTCTGGACAATGTTGGGCTCGTAAGTACCTTGTGCTTCGCTCCTTAATCCAGTTACTTCTGTGAAGATTTTTTTATTATTATAATTATGATTTTGAGAGAGTCTGTCATGAGCGCGTGGACTCGATTTGTGAAGAAGCATATTTAAAATAATTCTATCTTAGTCTGGCCCTCAGATCGTCATGTAAAACAGACACTTCCCGTTCGCTAACACCGCTACATTCTTAGATTCTCATAAACAGACACTGACACCTCTCCTAACAGAACACTAATCCTTGTTTCAATGGTTTCCAGTTAAGAGGACACTTAGACACTCCCAGCGAGCAAGCTTTACTCCAAGAACTTGTAGGATAGCTTGCTCCCAAGCTGTCTAGTCCCAAGGTTGTCAAACTACGTTTCTCTTATTCTACACCGTTCTTCAGAAGTTTATTTGATTTTGTTCAATCATATAATGTTAATCATGCTATTCTAGCTGTTTTTGTCTCTTTCTTTTTCCTAGACCACTCTGTGTGCCCGAGTTGGTGGTCTTGATAACCCTGTGGATTCCAATTGGTGAGTACAGAAGACCAACAGCACTTTGTAGTTTTGCTTCACAAATCCTCACTGTAGGAAAGTGAGGAATCGTCTGGCTGCCATGTAGAAATCGCAAAGGCTTACAAAATATACATATTTTTTTCTAATTTCTTGGATCAAACACGGACAAATTTAAACTGCACTGCTTGATAAAACGTCTTTCGATGCCCCTACCCTTCTCAACGTTGTTTAGGAGGGTAGGGGCGGGTTTGTATTTTGGTTGAACAGACGTTAGGTTCTAGGTACTCTAATCGACCTTCACCAGTGGTCAAACACACTGACAGAGCACGACAAGAGCCTTTCAAACAAGAGTAATCTCTCATGCATGAACATTTGAGCTGGTTCAGATTCGACGAAAGGGTAAATTCTCATTAAAATCTGTCCATCTTGATGATCATTAGCGGCAGAGTCTCCCGAAATTGGTCCCTGTAAACGAGCCGGCGACTAAAACCCGTTGGTGGGCTGCACTGCCTCCTACCTCAAAGAAAGCTCACTGGTAGGCTAAAGTAGCTGTCCTATACACATTATTTTACTTGTTTTCAATAAAGTTTTTTTTATTTGTTTGATATAGGGAGGACATGTTGTCCCCTGGAGAGATGCAGAGGCTGTCCTTCGCTCGTTTGTTCTTTCATCGACCTCTAGTAGCACGTACGTAGCCTTGAATTACTTCTATGGGAACAACTCACAAAAGTTGCAGTTTGATTTCCAGCCGCAGTCACTTTTAATGTGTTTCTTTTTTGGTTTATTTCGTTCCTTCAGTTCTTGATGAAGCTACAAGCGCTTTAGATGTGGCCTCGGAGACCAGACTGTACTCATCCTGTAAACAGCTTGGTATTACAGTTGTTAGTGTGGGCCATAGAAAGTCACTGAGAGAGGTATGTAACTCGTGCGATATTTAAGGTTTATACTTACGTTTGTACGTTCAGTTCTTCCACCCGAGAGACGTCCAAGTAATCTGGAACTTAGATCTTCCACAACCAATCTGGTTACGTGCAAGCTTAGGCTTAATTATTTCGTATTGATGACGTCATTCTACAGATATCCGTGTAGACTGGGCCGAGTCTCTTATTGGTCTTCGCCAAGATGTGAATATCGCCCGCAAGTTAAGAGCTATTCCGACAAACCTGGAAGGCGAGGGTGGGAGGCAGTGCACCAAATTAGTCAACGTAGAATAAGTAAATACAAATGTTAACGTCATTTCTCATTTTGTGTCTTTTAGCTTCACGACTTTATTTTGAAACTGGACGGAGAAGGAGGGTGGGAATTCAAGAAAATCAAAGATGAATAGAGCATGCTCAAGTAACGCGAATTTTTGGATTATCCTTGGGGTACAGATCACATGCATATGAACAGGGCTAGCTTTGAATTGTGTAGGTATTGTTACGTAGTTGATTTGAATTTGCAGAAATGTTGGTTAACCATGTAATAATTGATAGACAGGTATACGTGTGCAAGAAAGCGAAAAAAAAAAAAACTATATTTGTGTAGTAAATATTCAAACCTAATCACGCCTTTTTGACACACTCAATAGCATATCAGGTTAGCCTGGTCGAGCCATGGTTCGTATTTATACAGGGTTCTTCCAGCTCATGGAAAACCTGGAAAGTCATGAAATTTATTATTTCATTTTCCAGCCCTGGAGAGTCATGGAATTTAAGTGAAGGTTATGGAAAGTCATGGAAAAGCAGTACGCTTTCGGAAAATTAAAAGGCAACAAGAGAGAAAAAAAAAAACAGGCTTTAATTTCAGTAGAAATAGACACAAGCACGAGTCTTAAGCATTTTTTACAGTGGAAAATACGTTAAATAAATGATTGTTTTGATACTACTGTGAGAACAAGTGCTTAACTTAAGTCATGGAAAACTCGGAAAGGTCACGGAAAAGGTCATGGAAAGTCGTGGAATTTTAAAAGCTTCAAGGAGTACGAACCCTGTTATATCCTCATGGCTGAAATGCTGATAAGCTGCCGAAGTGAACCAAAAGGTACGGTTAGGTATTTCGGTATTTGCCATAAAGCTAGCGATGTTCGGTCAGTCACTTAATGACGGCTGGCAAGACTTCTGACTGCTTGATTGTGAATTTAGGCACGGTCAATACCCAAATTACGTATTATATTTTACTAATTGAATTCAATTGGTTAACGTATATTTTTTGATTTTGAAAATTATGATTTAGAACTATACACGTGTAGATAATATTATCATATTTTAACTATGTAGATATTACAGAGCTATTATTNTTTAGATTTAGATTTGGAGGTCAGCCATGGAAAGACCATTCTCATAACAGGAACTACAGGTAATTAGAATTTATAATTCCTTGATTGAACGATTCAAATTGATACAAATTAGAAACTCGAACCATTGATAAACTTTTTGCAAGTAGGATAACTAATGTAACGTTTTTCTGTCGTTCAAGCTCTGTTATTAACTTAGCAGACAAAGCGTGTCTGTTACCTGCCACTGTCCTTGAGTATCTTTACTTGCAACATAAATTAATACTTCTCCTTATGTCTAAAATCTGGTTTGGAATTTTTATCCATAGGAAGTGGAAAGAGTTCACTTTTTAGAATCCTTTGTGGAATATGGAGTCCTCTTTCAGGTACAAGTGTTTTATTCCTAATAAATTTCGTGGTCTGTAATATGTATTTCTATAATCTTGTTTCTTGATGTTTACCATAATTTAGTATATGTTATAGGACCACATGCTCTAATGTGGGTGTTTATCTGTAAGGTTCCGTCCACACTTCGCAAGAGGAATTTGAAAACAGAGGTTTCACTTGGAAAACGCATCAAATATTTTCCGTCCACACTATGCCGGAGAAATGTAAAAACGCAACAATCACCGGTCATTTTATATTTTATATTTGTGTTTGAGGAAAACTCGGTCAGGGAAATCACGTGATTATCGTGACGCCATCGTTTTCGCAAAGCTCCGTTTTCAAAATGTTTTCAGTCCACACGAAATTAAAAAGCGGGTGTTTTTAAATTCCTTCGGTTTGAAGAGCGTTTTCGAAAAGCTCCGTTTTCGCGACGGATTGGTGTGGACGGTAGGCCTAACCGTAGAAATATAAAAGTTCTCCATTCGTGCGCTAATTACTTCTTTTTGTAAAACTTTTGTAAACAACTTTTCCTTCAAAGGGAATTCTTGAAGACGTTTGAATTTCGAAATTTGTTATCGAAACTATCAATAAGTAATTGCAATGGACCTCATGCCGCACAATCCAAGGAGTAATCCGAGGTTGTGTAATCGTGCTCGTAATTTGAAATCAGCCTCGCCGGCGCTGCGCGCTCGTCCAACTTTTAAATTCCTCTCCCGATTACTCCCTCGGTCCAGTTGCTATGACTAATTTGGATAACTATCTAAATTAAGATTATACTATTAACTAATAATCGTGTGTGCACTTGTATGGAATTTTGGGCTGGTAATCTGAAAATTATGTATTACTAAGTTAGCTTTGCAAGTAAACTTATTTAAGTTTATCTTCGAGAAACGTCTCCGACTGGACCCGAAAAATGCCATATTGATGACTTTGTCGTCGGCGTTGGCTCGTGTCCGAGCATCATTTTCTTTTAACAGTACGATCTTCTCTTTTTTGATGGCCTCGGAGGTGGCTAAGCTGAACAATCCTTGCATAGAATTTGCGAGGGCAGTGAGGGAACGGGAGGGTGGGAGGTGGATGAGAGGCTGCAAGGCGGCGTTTCTGTTCTTCACGTTTCTCTTCTTCTTTGCGCCTCCATTCCGCTTTAGACATGGCAGTCCCGGTGGAAATGGACTGTCGCCAGCCAGATCGATTTGCCACTGTTGTCTCCCATGTCCTCGGATCAATTCCAGTAGCGTTACGGAAACCCGTGTGGCGTCTCTGATTGGTTGTTTATCGGTTTGAATTTGTACGCCCAAATTATAACCAATCAGAGACGTTTAACGAATCTCTGCAGAGCCACGTCATCGAGTGGCGCAAACTCGTCACTCTAAAATGTAATATGAGTTTTGCTCCACATCTTTTAACAGGGGAAGTCTTGCGATTTCTTCCGTTCAGTCCTAAAGCTGTCTTGTTCTTGCCTCAGAAGTCTTTTCTAACAGATGGCACGTTACGGCAACAGGTAAACTCATTCAGAATAATTAACAATAGTGAACAAAAGAAAAGGGAGCGGACTGCTCGAGAGTACACACTGCGCGTTGCTTTTTCAAGAAATTTGTAGTAAAGGAATGTTTACTGGAAGATTTTTGCGGCATCAAAAAACAAATTGAATGGTGAAAAATAACGAAAACCTAGACCTAGCCCACACATCTCAATGAACAAAATAATGCGCTTAACAAGTGGGTGACAAATTATGCGCTTTTATTCAATCTTGAAACTTGCAAACTACTTTGATTAAGCTTTAACAATCATGATTAGCAAGATCGAATTCAGTCTTGCTCAACAATATTCATATTGTATATTTCTTATTTTCTAGTTAATGTACCCTTGTGAGGATCCTTATGGAGTTGACTCTGAAACAGGTGATGACAGTTTGGGCCTATGTTAACTTTCGCAACAGAACACTGAAAAATCTAATACAACTGACAAAAACGGGTTTTCGGACTTATAACCGTCGGAAGAATAAGCACCAGTTGATGCCAAGAATTGACTGAGCCCGCGTTCTTGACAGGGCAATTTCGAAGCAGCCTAATGTGTTTCCTATTTCGTCATTCTGACGTGGTGCTTTTCGGATTACTCGTGAGTGTTCGCGCTAGCTTTTGATTGGATAATGCGAATTGGTAAAAGTTCGAGCTCGGCAACGAAGATTTGCCAAAAGTGACACTTGTTTCCTCCACTGTATTTGTAATCTTCGATTTTTCTTTGCCATGTACAGGAGGCAATGAAGATGAGAAACTTCTTCAGCTTCTGGACAATGTTGGGCTCGTAAGTACCTTGTGCTTCGCTCCTTAATCCAGTTACTTCTGTGAAGATTTTTTTATTATTATAATTATGATTTTGAGAGAGTCTGTCATGAGCGCGTGGACTCGATTTGTGAAGAAGCATATTTAAAATAATTCTATCTTAGTCTGGCCCTCAGATCGTCATGTAAAACAGACACTTCCCGTTCGCTAACACCGCTACATTCTTAGATTCTCATAAACAGACACTGACACCTCTCCTAACAGAACACTAATCCTTGTTTCAATGGTTTCCAGTTAAGAGGACACTTAGACACTCCCAGCGAGCAAGCTTTACTCCAAGAACTTGTAGGATAGCTTGCTCCCAAGCTGTCTAGTCCCAAGGTTGTCAAACTACGTTTCTCTTATTCTACACCGTTCTTCAGAAGTTTATTTGATTTTGTTCAATCATATAATGTTAATCATGCTATTCTAGCTGTTTTTGTCTCTTTCTTTTTCCTAGACCACTCTGTGTGCCCGAGTTGGTGGTCTTGATAACCCTGTGGATTCCAATTGGTGAGTACAGAAGACCAACAGCACTTTGTAGTTTTGCTTCACAAATCCTCACTGTAGGAAAGTGAGGAATCGTCTGGCTGCCATGTAGAAATCGCAAAGGCTTACAAAATATACATATTTTTTTCTAATTTCTTGGATCAAACACGGACAAATTTAAACTGCACTGCTTGATAAAACGTCTTTCGATGCCCCTACCCTTCTCAACGTTGTTTAGGAGGGTAGGGGCGGGTTTGTATTTTGGTTGAACAGACGTTAGGTTCTAGGTACTCTAATCGACCTTCACCAGTGGTCAAACACACTGACAGAGCACGACAAGAGCCTTTCAAACAAGAGTAATCTCTCATGCATGAACATTTGAGCTGGTTCAGATTCGACGAAAGGGTAAATTCTCATTAAAATCTGTCCATCTTGATGATCATTAGCGGCAGAGTCTCCCGAAATTGGTCCCTGTAAACGAGCCGGCGACTAAAACCCGTTGGTGGGCTGCACTGCCTCCTACCTCAAAGAAAGCTCACTGGTAGGCTAAAGTAGCTGTCCTATACACATTATTTTACTTGTTTTCAATAAAGTTTTTTTTATTTGTTTGATATAGGGAGGACATGTTGTCCCCTGGAGAGATGCAGAGGCTGTCCTTCGCTCGTTTGTTCTTTCATCGACCTCTAGTAGCACGTACGTAGCCTTGAATTACTTCTATGGGAACAACTCACAAAAGTTGCAGTTTGATTTCCAGCCGCAGTCACTTTTAATGTGTTTCTTTTTTGGTTTATTTCGTTCCTTCAGTTCTTGATGAAGCTACAAGCGCTTTAGATGTGGCCTCGGAGACCAGACTGTACTCATCCTGTAAACAGCTTGGTATTACAGTTGTTAGTGTGGGCCATAGAAAGTCACTGAGAGAGGTATGTAACTCGTGCGATATTTAAGGTTTATACTTACGTTTGTACGTTCAGTTCTTCCACCCGAGAGACGTCCAAGTAATCTGGAACTTAGATCTTCCACAACCAATCTGGTTACGTGCAAGCTTAGGCTTAATTATTTCGTATTGATGACGTCATTCTACAGATATCCGTGTAGACTGGGCCGAGTCTCTTATTGGTCTTCGCCAAGATGTGAATATCGCCCGCAAGTTAAGAGCTATTCCGACAAACCTGGAAGGCGAGGGTGGGAGGCAGTGCACCAAATTAGTCAACGTAGAATAAGTAAATACAAATGTTAACGTCATTTCTCATTTTGTGTCTTTTAGCTTCACGACTTTATTTTGAAACTGGACGGAGAAGGAGGGTGGGAATTCAAGAAAATCAAAGATGAATAGAGCATGCTCAAGTAACGCGAATTTTTGGATTATCCTTGGGGTACAGATCACATGCATATGAACAGGGCTAGCTTTGAATTGTGTAGGTATTGTTACGTAGTTGATTTGAATTTGCAGAAATGTTGGTTAACCATGTAATAATTGATAGACAGGTATACGTGTGCAAGAAAGCGAAAAAAAAAAAAACTATATTTGTGTAGTAAATATTCAAACCTAATCACGCCTTTTTGACACACTCAATAGCATATCAGGTTAGCCTGGTCGAGCCATGGTTCGTATTTATACAGGGTTCTTCCAGCTCATGGAAAACCTGGAAAGTCATGAAATTTATTATTTCATTTTCCAGCCCTGGAGAGTCATGGAATTTAAGTGAAGGTTATGGAAAGTCATGGAAAAGCAGTACGCTTTCGGAAAATTAAAAGGCAACAAGAGAGAAAAAAAAAAACAGGCTTTAATTTCAGTAGAAATAGACACAAGCACGAGTCTTAAGCATTTTTTACAGTGGAAAATACGTTAAATAAATGATTGTTTTGATACTACTGTGAGAACAAGTGCTTAACTTAAGTCATGGAAAACTCGGAAAGGTCACGGAAAAGGTCATGGAAAGTCGTGGAATTTTAAAAGCTTCAAGGAGTACGAACCCTGTTATATCCTCATGGCTGAAATGCTGATAAGCTGCCGAAGTGAACCAAAAGGTACGGTTAGGTATTTCGGTATTTGCCATAAAGCTAGCGATGTTCGGTCAGTCACTTAATGACGGCTGGCAAGACTTCTGACTGCTTGATTGTGAATTTAGGCACGGTCAATACCCAAATTACGTATTATATTTTACTAATTGAATTCAATTGGTTAACGTATATTTTTTGATTTTGAAAATTATGATTTAGAACTATACACGTGTAGATAATATTATCATATTTTAACTATGTAGATATTACAGAGCTATTATTGTTAAGTAGCCTCTTTAACTTATATTTTACGAATTGAATTGTTTGTTTGTTTGTTTTTTTAATTTTGCACTCATAATGTAAGCAATACTATTGACAGCTAGGTACTATTACTATATTCTCTCACACCACTGGTAGCCATGTCAAGCTGATCTCCGCCGCCTGACCTTTACTGCAAAATCAAAGCTACTACAAGCAGCATTACGCTAAAGACGGGAAATGAAAAATGTTCAAGGCTTGTACATTATACTGGCATCGTATTTAAACTTAAAATCTTTGGGTGGGTGGGTGGGTGGGAAAGTCGGCAATGGCGGACGCAACAAAAACAACTGCACGCCCTATGGGTCACATGACCTATACCCAGGCACCAGCGGCGTGTGAGAAAACCATTTTTCACTTATTTCATTTCCTTTAGCCAGTGAAAAATTACTCTTACTACTAATATAGATATTAAATTAAATCTTATTGAACTAACGTCAGTTTCTTGTTGGGGAGCAAGACCGATATTTCCCAATACAGACCGAACAAGCTAATTCAATAAAGTATCATATTTCTGTAATAACTCATTTAAAAATCTGCTAACACATTAATGCATCCTTTCTTGGTAAACGCTTGAGCCAAAATTGAGCATATATTTGCCTTTTGTAGAGTTCCTGTATGAAAGTTTAATTGAAATCGTCCGTCAGACATGGAGCAAAAGGAGAGTGTTTCTTTTTACAATGTTTTTGAATAGCAATTGCCAAAGCTAACTCGTTCGTGGTCTTTCTTACCAGTCTGTATTTCAAAATTCGGACCGCTCAGGAAGTCAATGAGAATTCTCTTTTTTTTTTGACTAGCTTGTCACGTTGAATCTGTGACAACGTTGTTCTCAGGGCACCGCCTTCCTTGACGGGAGAGAAAGAGCCGAAGCAGGGGCCCTGGGAACGAAAATCATTTTACTATCGTGTATCCCTGCTGACGTTATTTTAAAGTGTTTAGAAAATGGCCCAAAAAGTTGCTAAGCAACGTGGCATGGCCTCATTGCATCAGACTGCACGTGACAATTTTCGGACTGCTTCTGGAAGCTCGTGTTATTTTCGATGTTTACCTCTAAGAATCGGTAACTGCTCGAGTGCTTGTAAGGGGCTAGGTCATGCGATGTTAGGCAATTATAGGTAGAGGTGATGAACTGGTCGGGCAATGAACTGAAATATCACAAAAACGGCTTAAAACTGTGCAAAAACTCAGAAGAAACACAGAAAAGCCAAAAGATAGAAAAGACAAAAACAGATTTCAATTGTGTAAGCTTAAAAACATCGAGCCAACATTTTTCCAGTTGTTCTCAATTTGTATGAAAGTGCCATCAATTTATAACGCTCAGGTAATCCTTAGTTATTTGGTCGTAATTTTACCCATAAACGGTCGCTGCTCTGTCAATTTGAAGCTTTGAGCTCGTGACGTGGCCCCTTTCAACGAAGATTTACAAAAGTGTTTGTTCCTGTGATTCAGGGGCTCTAATTCACAATTTCCAGCACAAGCACTTAACTGTGCTACCTAATTCAAGTTGTATGGGATAGTATCTGGTTCTTGTCCAGTCTAGAGATGTAATTTCATTACAACAGCGCCTGAAGTGGAGCCACATCTCTCCTACCTTCCCTGGGAATCAACCTTTCCCGATGACGTTTTTATTTTTCTTAATTTTAGAAACTGATGTAGTGCTCTCTGGGTCCCTAGACGTAAAATTAAGTTTGTTTGACAAAATATCTTATTATGGTTCAATTTTAGCTTTGTTTTGGCTTTGGTAAAATTAGGGAATGATTCAATTTAAATAGGAAATCATTTAGATTATGTAATGGTTCAATTTAAATGTGCAATCATCATTTTTATTAGGTAATGGTTCAATTTAACTAAGCCATCATCCTTTCTATTATGTAATGGCTCATTTTAAATATGCAATCATAAGGTCCATTTTGCAATGGTCAATTTAAATTCGCGTTCTAATAATTAGCATTATGTAATGGTTCAATTAAAAAAAATATTGTAACGCAATTTCGACTTCGTAGTATTTCAGTTATGACATAAAATGATTGTATTTATTGTTTGTAATAGTTCGCTATAAATTATGTGAATGAATCTATGTCAAAATTTAACATATGCAGTCTCAATTTATTTTATAACGTTCTGTATTTGTATTTGAAATTTCTCAAATGACCAAAATTATTAAAATTATCGATAAGTAGTCAAGCCAAGTAGCTTTTATTGGTAGCCTATTGCTTTTTGTTAATTTTAGTGAAACGTACTGTATTGTAACGGAAACCTAAGTATTTTTTTTTTTTTTTTTAGTTTCTCCTATTTGATTGTCGTCGTATTTGCTGTTTTTCTATGAAAAGATCTAAATAAACAATAGCCTCCATTTGGCGCGAAAATATGCTCGGATATTTTCCCGCAGACATTATCTGTTCTGAGGAGCTAACAGCTTTACCAGAGCGTAAAGCTAAAAGTGGGCTATTGCTTTTATTATCCTCCAAATATTTTTTTCGCAATACGAGCAGTTTTGAAAATGGGGGAATATATCACTTGGATATTCCACAGTTTTAGCTGGGGACAAATTTGTCACGTGACGCGTTTAGACGAATCGCGCGCGAACGAAAATATTTCATGGATTATAAAATTATAGATTAAAAAAGATTTTTTTATTCTACCCCATGACTTTTGTAAAATGTTATTTGTGTCATTTTTGCAGTTAAAGTACAAGTGACTGTCTCACTACCTTGTTCTGCAATGCTGTAAAAATCTGTCTATAAGCCCTGTGCATAGATTTGATCAAAAGGGTTTTTTATGGCCGCCTTTTAATGGTCAGAGGGGAATGGGGCTGCTATTATCGGAGGAAATTGACTTTGAATTATCAGGATCCTTGATTTATACCTCAAAGTGAGACGGTCAGTATCCCCGCCCTTTTCATATGGGAGTCCACCCCCCCCCCCCCCCCCCTCCCCTGCGCGGTGAAGGAAGGAGAATGAGCATTGCACTGGTCTTGAGCCAACTCCACCACTCTCAAAATTCCAGTTTAGCTTCAAACTTTCCTTTATAATTTTTGGCTTTTGAGATACCCCACCCCCTTAGAATTTCCAGTGACCCTCCATAGGGTATTTTCTGGAGCTGCATTTTATAAAATAAAGATGTTGAGGGGAATCCAGAGGTACTCTGAAGAGTTGGGGGGTGGGGTGAGATAAAGATGCCTGGCGTGCTCTTTCTTTCTGAACGAGAGGGTTGATCTAGGGGACTTCGGGCCCTTTCACAGATCTAGCACTGTGAAGTTACTGTTATTGCAACATCCATTATATTTTATCTCTTGTTACATATCAAAATATATAAACAATAACCCCCATTTGGCACGAAAATACGCACGGATATTTGTCGGTGAACATTATCTGTTCCGAGAAGCGAGCAGCTTTCCATGCCAAGAGCGTAGCTCGAGGAAAACTCTGAGCTTTGATGAACAGATAATATCCAATGCAGGGACAAAACGACAAGCTGTGCGAAAGTTAAAAATATTTGTTTCAACTTGGGGCCTGTTCTAGGCATTCAGATTGTGGCGAGTGTCAAGATTAAGATTGTGGGGTGGCCGTGTTAATGGGGTTTTCTTATAATAAAATGTACGGGCGTTCGGCGGGGCAAAACAGACTGTCTGTAATAACGAGGTGAACGTATTGACTAGGTGAGCCTAAGGCGGGTTTCCACTCACGGCTGTACAAATGGAATAAACAGGGTACAACAAGCCTTTTTATACCAAACTGAAGCAACAGATGATCCCTTGATGAACTGGAATTTTTAACCTCAAATCCCATAGGGTTTGGAGGCAGGCGTTTGTGCGAAATGGCGTTTACAAAGCCCAAACAAAAATACCAAACAAAGACAACAAAACAACAACCAACAAAAGCACTAAGATTATGCGTTTGGTTGGAAGTTCCACGACCGTGCACAATCTTTTGTTTTGTGCTCACACACACTATGCGTAAATTTCATAACAAAAACGTCTCTATAGGTTAGTCTATTGGTTAGTTTCTTGTGGTTTTGCATGCGAGGCACTCAAACTTGTTTAATAACATGGTGCGTCAAATGACGATTTTAACGGAATTTGGTAATTTGCATATTTCTTTGAAATAAAAGGACATTTTGCCAAAAAAACTATCCAGTAGTTTTTGTNTCAGTGAATGAAATACATGTCTTCGAAATTTAATTATTTTGCACCCAAAAAGACAACGCAACATTTCCTAAAATCAACCTAGTACACATTTAAACATTGCACAAAAATATTTCAGTGTTTTAAGGACGGAAGAATGATGTGATTTTGCATGCGGGGCTCTCAAATTTGTTTAATAAAATGGTGCGTCAAATGACGATTTTAACGGAATTTGGTAATTTGCATATTTCTTTGAAATAAAAGGACATTTTGCCAAAAAAAACTACCCAGTAGTTTTTGTCATGCCCTAGCCTATCTAC